TCTAGTCTGTTTATAAGCATAAAGAGAGCTTCTCATAAAAGACAGCACTAAAACCTTACTTTGGCATCTTCCCTCATTTAGATGATACATGGACCACTATTGGTAAAGAAAATCACTGTTCTTGCCAACTGCCTTGCAGCAGCATGAAAAACAGATTATCAAATGGAAGGGTCCTAATTATTAAAATATTCAAATGAACATCACTGGCCTATTATATGGCACGTGAGACTGGAACTTCAACTATGATCTCAACAACAATACAGCCATGCTGGAGGCACACTCATAGGATGGATTTTTTCCCATGTACTTGTGTAATAATGGCTTCATGTAAGGACAACAGCACAGATGCAGACTATCTTATAGAAAGTGATAGAAAATGCATATCAACTAAAGTCTCTATTTAGCACACGTACTTCAATGTTCATAATGACTCCAGAGGAATAAATAGCATTTTTAATGTCAGCTCATTAAATCAATTTAGGGGTCAATACAGGGCTTGGGAAATACTCATTCAACATTCAATCAGTTTGTGAATGACCTGTTTCCTACTCTAGTTAGGGCAACATCTTTAGTGTTTGGGATGATGAAACACTTTTCCCAATCTCTCTCCTGCTCCCCAAATTTAAAGTCTGGCTCAAGTTTCCATGAGCATTAACTAATGCAGTTTCTAGTATGAATAGACTCTGCCTGAAACAGCTGATTTTTTCCCCGCAACTGATTTCCTTTACCTGTGGAGAAGAGCTCAATTATTTTCCCCCTCATAACTGTTTTAGAAGCATCCAACAGTGAAAGGAGACAACTCCTGGTGTTTCATTATCATTATTCTGGCAATTCCTATCCCAGATGGTTTACAGTTCACGTACAATCTTGAGAATAGGTCAATCTTTACCCTCTATGCCTAACATCCTGATGGGAGGTAGAGAAGTGTAGTGACATTTGAACAACAGTATGATCCAAGTTGTTTATTTCGTTGATAGAGTGGGTAGTGACCTTGTACAAGGCTGACTCAATTTAAACAGAAGTCAGTCTAGAAATAGACTGCCTCTTGAAGAAAGTATATTTTCTGCTAGATACCTATTCACTCTCTCCTTTTAGATACCAAAACGTCACATTTTGGATCTAATATATCCTTTCTAATATCACTTCTTTTGATATTAACCTCCAATATTTGATAAAACTAATTTCTATTATACAAGCAGAAAGTAGTTAATATTAATTAAAACATTTTATTCAAAACATGGGCAAAACCAGTACACAGAAAATAGTGCAATGAGTCTTGCTATCTTGTTGCTCAAGGAGCAGTTAATATAGGTGGTCTTGCAGGACTAGAGATGCAAGTGGAAGAATTAGAAGAATGTTCCTCTTCAGGTCATGAAATTATGCAAAGCACTGAAGAATATTACTAAAATAGATGGGACCCCTTACTCTGGAATAAGGAGACTCTCCCTTGGTTTTAATATCTTTTTATTGGCAGGGATGGAACTGCTATAAAGTTGTATCAATCAGGGGTTAGGTATGTGTTCCATCCTAATTCAGCTGCATCCAGTAACAAGTTATAACTACCCTCTATTTATTTTAATAAACTTAGATTTAAAACCATGGTTCTTATTAAAGAATTTAGTGAACCCTGGCAAATAGTCCCCTCTAAACTCTTAATTTGCCCTGTTCAAAGACAGATGAGGGCAACTGTCGGGAACCTAAAATGTTTTAGAGAGCTCGTGGGATATCAGGCACATTTTCTTGAGTTTGTTTTACTGATGTAGCATACATAGTCTCTACACACAGGTAGTGCCAAGCTGTATTTAGCTCTATCGTCCTTATGTTTATATGTACTGTGAAATGTATTTTTTATAGCAGGGCCAGGATTGTATACTGGGAGAGACTCCAAGCCTAAATGGCTGAAGCGAAGTAACAGCTGAAAGTTTGTTTACTCAACAGGACCTTCCAGACCATGATGAATTAACATTTCAAAGGAAGAGACCCCTAAGAACACCACCTGAAAAGACACAGAGGGGAAATTAAGTGAGACACACTATCTTTAGGATACTAGATTAGTAATCTTTGAGTCTGAAAGGATGCAAATATTCTCTCTTGCATAATTAGAACTGGACAGACATTTTGTGTCGTAAACATGTATGGGGTAGGGGCAGTAAGTTACATAGTGTGGCTCCCCATGAATCTAACAGGTGATATATGTAAATGGCCAGATAAGAAACCCTACTTAAGCTCTGCCATGAGAGCAAGTTGGGATCTTCAGTTTTTTTCCTGGGGCTTAGAGGAACACTGGAGCCCCTCAGCTAGTGGGCGGAGTAGAAACTACATTCTTGAATTTAAGATTTAGGGTAAGAACAATTTATTGTTCTGTCATTTCCTTTTGCTTGTTTGTTCTAATATCTCTGTCTATATCCCAATGTATGGTAACTGATTTCTTATGTTTTTTCTTGGTTTTTTTTTTTACAATAAATCTTTTTGTTATCTTTTATAACTTACTTATTGTCAGGGTAAGTGCAATTTCAGAGTATTTGACCATACATGCGGGCCTCTTCTCTAGAAGGAGAGTCCATCTTTTCTGAGTACATGACTGGACAAAGGTGCAATTCTTCTAGCTGGCAAAATCTCCTCTGCTAAGAGTTGGAAAGGCCCAGGAGAAGCAGGTAAAGGTGAGGTGTCTTTGGTCAGAGAACTGACCTTTGGAACACCTCAATCTGCTCTCAATGGTCACAGCAGATGTCAGAGAGGGGTTTGGGGCAGAAGGGCACCCCTGAAGATGTGAGAACATCCCAGGAGTGTCTTAAAGGCTCTTCTGGCCACATCTGGGGTTGGAGAATGTCACAGTAACATAAACCCACCCCACCACTTACGAAAAATAAACATTTTTTACCTCTACAGATAGACTTGCTAACTCTGTAATACTAAGTAACAGAAAAGTAATACATGTCAAAGAGCAACACCATACAAGAAACTATAGGGAGTTCTGACACAAACAACAGTTTAAAAGGTGCCAATAAATCCATAACACAAAATCTGTTTGCAACAGAGCATAAACCAATTTGATATACTCATTGATAGGTAACTACCTAATTTGTTGGGGGTGCCTCCAGATTTTGTGGGGAGAACATGGGCTTGGACAGCCATTTTACAGGTGGAGCGTGGTGGCCCCATCATGCCCGATTGCAGAAGAGATCCCAGTGGCCCATCCCCTTACTGCTGACTGGTAGGGGATGCCTGTCATGTAGCCCTGCTCTTTGCCACGCAGCCCTACCCCTCACTGCCGATGAATGGAGAGGGGCAGAGCCACAGGACAGGCAGCCCTTGCAGCCAATCAGTGGCGAGGGGTCATCTGGTCTTCTAGAGCTGGTCTTTTTTTGTAATAAAATAAAGAATCACTGTCTTGCAATATGCATAACCACTACCTCACACTTTTTTCCTGAATCATACTGTCCACAGCCCTTTGAGCAGGCAGCACCCTCCCCTCACTGGGCTGCTGCAGTCTACTGAGGACCTGCTGGGTCCCTCTGAGGAGCCAGTATTTTCTGTTCCGTAATTTTTTTCCCCATGGATTTTACAAACATTGCCTGAATTTCATGGGTAATGTCAAATTTCACGGAGCAAATGTGGTATATCCCTGCTCATTGATGAAGTAATATATAGTTTGGCTTAAAGCCACATCTTTCTGTGCATCTCTAATGCTACCTTTGAGGAAGATCAGCCCTATAGCTCTACAGACAAAAAGCAAAAAAATATAGTTCCCATTCCTAAAAATTCAGTTCCATCCTTAGGTATCATATAAATCTGACACGAGCAGTGCTGACCTCCTGCAATGGGCATAAGGATCCTGGGTTTAAAGTTTTTCCCCAAGAGATTATTTATTGGTAAGCAGGTGCATACATACAGATATACACTCTTAAATATTTCTCACTGCCTTATTAAAAACCATCATCAATAATACATGCATTTCATTTTAAAAAAAGACCAATTTTGTATTAGTTACAGTTGCACTAGCCTCCAAAAGTCTGAAAATACAATATCCCTTACTTATTGTATTCTTTTCCATTTTATACTCCAGACATCTTACAAAGCTATTTAAGTACTTTAAAAAAGTCTGAGATTTCTTCAGTTGATATATTTATTGAGTATCAAACAAGTAACATTTGTAAAACGCACATTTTTCCCCTTGAAAATTTTAAATGGACGAAATGTAGATTTACCTAGTTTTCAGTAAGGAGAGCCCACAACTTCAGGAACTTATTTCTGTGTTTTGGACATCACTACAATCTAAAAGTTAGCAGCTATCTTTGTCTTGACCTGTAGAGGGAGTTTCCTCATTTTTGCAAAAGCAAGCTCTATCGAAGTGGAAGATATTCTTACCTGTGTAAGGCTTCTTGTTACAACTTACATTTCTGTAGGAGACCATAGTGTTCTAGTTTATCTGCAATTTGAATATACTGTACTCATGTTTAATGAACTAATTAATTCAGGGCAAGTTTCTACTTGGTCACAGTATCTAACACCTGTTAAAAAGCCCTTTAGTTGCAAAAGAACCATAATATTATACAGTCATTAAGCTTAAATTAAATATATTAGAGTAGTGGAAAAAATCTTTTTATACAGTATTTTAGCCAGTGAGACAAGAACATTTTAAATAATTAAAAAGGCATTAGAAGTTACAAATGCCAATATATATCAAATAGCTTGTTTAAATACACGTTTTCTAAAATTGTTTTCTCAAATATACTCAGATTGTATCCTTATTAATAAATGTATGCTAGTAAAAGGATTAGATATCCTGATTACTCCAGCAGATGAACATTATACAAAAAATACAACAGTATTGTTTTCTGTAGAGTGATCCTTCAAGAATCAGCAGATTTGTTGGCACCTTCTTCTTCAGCTTCCTGATAAGATCAATTTCCTTCACAATGAGAACCAAGTATAAATTTCAAGAAAGCCGCATTCAGTGAAATTAGACATCTGCGTTTTCCTTTTGTTCTTATACATACCTGATGGGGATAATGTAGGAAAACAGGAGGAGGAACCGAAAAAGGTTGCGGTACCATGGACCCACAAATCCTTGCAAGGTTACCATAACAACTGACAGTGCAACGAGAGCCAAAAACAGGGCTTTGGTCAGTTGATTCAGTTCAAGGTCCAGCAAACCAATCTAAGGAAAACAATTCAGTAAATCCAGGTTAGCCATAAATTGTTCATATACTCACACTTCTGCAATACAAAAAATTGGAAATAAAAGGCCAATAATAATTATTAGAATTTTCATTTTTCGTATGCTCAGCTCAATTCTAACAACACATTCTAATAAACAACTCTGATTACACTTATATGCGATAGAAATTGTTTATTTAAAGGCCAATTACATTTCCAACACTCACGCTATGAAATGTACCACAAATGTCTTTTGGTGACCTTTATTATATCCTTCTTGGGGCTATCCCCCAATTTCCTCCTATTATGTGTATATATATATTTTTCCCCCTCCGAGAAAAATTGCTGAATCTTTGTGTTATCCTTGAAGCATGGTGAACTGTTCATTTGTTGGCATTATATCACAAAACTTGTTACGCTTGAAAATCAAAATCCAATAATATATTCAGTTGCATGTCTAACCCATCTTAATTTGTTACCATTCAGTGCTATTTTAAAGAAATACCATTTGGAAATCTGCAGTATTAAAAAAAACAAAACAACTTTTAATAAATAATGACATAAATAGAAAAAATCCATTTCAAATGTAATACTTATTTTTAATTTAAGACAGCAAAATAGAAACCAAGTTTTCCACAAGTAAAATAAAAACACATTCAAGGAACTCTTATAAGTGCTATCATAAAAATGTGTTCGTTGGGCAGTTAGCATGCTTCTAAATAAGAGGCATTTTGAATACAGTACAACTAAGACTTCCACTTTTCCAATAATGTATATTGTATTATAAGTATTTGAGACCCACTTTTACGGATGATCTTATAGTCATGAAAATATGTGGGAAAATCATGTCAGCAAGGCTTCCCTAGGCTCCTTTACAGAGGCTCTTTTATCTGTAGACCTTGCCAGCAAAACCAGTAAAACATAACACTTCCCCAGATAACAAACAATCTGTAAAGGAACTATATTTAAGTAGTTCTGAAAAATTCCAGCATTCTTGCTTGTGCACAGGCTGTCCCTTCCCTTGAGAACTAGGCAGCTGAAGACCACAGCGGCTGATTTATCAGCTGCATTTAAAAAGCAGCACAACGAGGACAAATATCTTGCAATTTCCGCTGCTTCAACTACTACATAGTTTATGCTTGAATTATTGAGAAAAATAGGTTTTTGGATTAAAATGAAGAAAAATTAAGCCAGGGAAGTAGAGCATGTTTCAAAGCCCAGATCTTTTTGCGTTGACAAAGGCAGTCTAAGTTTCAGGCCTCGCTGAGGATCAGATGAAGTCATTATTCATTCAGTCAGGGAAAAAAGACTCAATTACCTCAACCTAAAGATGCTATCAATGAATGCAAAGTGCATATTTTACTCTATTCATCCAAATCCCATTAAAAAGTGAAAGGAATGATTTAATCTGGCCTTCTAGAGTTGGTCTTTTTTTGTAATAAAATAAAGAATCACTGTCTTGCAATATGCATAACCACTACCTCACACTTTTTTCCTGAATCATAGCAGTGAAAGACTGTAAAGGCAGAGACAAAAACTAACAGAAATGAATACAAAGTTTCTTTTGAAAAAAAATGCCACTTTTAGGCTGGAAACATTAAATGTAGGCCACTGCACATTGATATGTAGCTAATACAAAGCAGTAATACCTTGCTAATTGATGACGACAGATGTGACTATAAGAGTTTAGAATCCAACAAAAAGCTGTTGGAACAATTTTTTTAAAAAGAGAGGGGGGAAAATCTCTGGTAAAAGATTTTTTCCAAATACATGGCAAATGTCTTCTTTTGGGAAAGTGATTTGTCCTCTTGCAAGATAACTTTACCCCTGTCTAGTCTTCACATCATATTACTGTCAGTAGTCTTAGCATTTCTGTTTTCTATACTAAGTGAAGTCAACTGTGACATCCTCCTTTTTTGGTAGGGTGCATGTACCTCCAAAACTCTTTTCTGGAATTAGGTATACTTAAAAATACAAGGTATGTAGCTTTATACTATACTTTTACACGTATAGTATTTTCTGCAATCAAAGCATGAATCACAAACCATTTTATCTAGGTAGCTAAACATTTCATATTGACATCTAACCAATTTTCCATTAAGTAGGCTTCAGTGTTGGTGAAATAGGCAAGTTCCTATTTCAGTGTACACACCAGATCCTGCACTTTTATAAAAAAAATTGTAGTGTGCGATCTTTTAAAAAATGAATCATTTCCTAGTCACAATAACCTGTTCTACCCTAAAATATTCATAATGAGAATAAGTAATTATGACTACATAAGAAATAGATAAATTAAGTATATTAAGTAATTTTCAATATTTATTGCTATTTCCCATATTTGTAAAACAAATTTTCTTCTACTTGTCATAATATTTGTTCTATTTGAAACAACTGTGATAAGAAAATTAAATACGCCACTGGAAATTTTAATCTCCAAGGGAAAATTTGTACATAATGTCTACGACAACCACAATAGTTTTGCAAAGGGGCTGCTCTAGGATAATGAACACAATAATTGCCTGTATAATCTAAAATGCTACTAATGGCAACAATCACAAATCCATTTAGCTCCTCTTTAATTTATGTACCAAGTTTTAAATAGCTAATGGTTCTCAGTAAAATAATGGTTTATACCAACAATAAAGGGTAAGTATGGCATTCTCCTGCTTCAACAAAAAAAATCCATCAGTCTAGTTTTTATATTATTTATTTATTTATTATGTTTGAATCAATGAATGAGTAAAGGGCCCCAATATTCACCATGTAGCACTGTACTGTACATCAGAAAGTTACAAGGTGGAAGTCACACTATTCACATTAATGAAATCAACTTATTGTAATTAACAAAAGGTAAAAGATGACAAAAACTTTACCCATTAACAAATAATGAAAAACATCAAAATAATAAAATTATTATGATGAACAGCCATCTATGGTTTACTTCTGTGAGGACATCATGCTTTGCAGTTATTCTGCTACTAATATAATAGCTTTCCCAATGTTATAAACCAAATAGATTACTACAACTACTGGAAAAACCCTCCTAATGTTTTAATGTAAAATGTGACATTTCATGAAGATTTCCACTGGTACAAATATGTCTCAACATGTTCCTTAAGTCAGCTCAGTTACAATTTAGTCTAAAACTGCAATGGATCTAACAATGGAAGAAGAGCTTGTGCAGTTTCTCACCTGTAACTTTTTTTTTATAAGGTATCCTGATTTTGATGTGTTTTCTTAAGTAAGGCTTTTTAAAAGTAATTATATTGCAGTAATCATTCAGGTTCTGCACTGCCTAACATCATATTGACTGCAATGGGGTTTCATGGCATGTATATCAGAGACAGATTTTGCCCTTCATTTACATTGCAATAGTTGAAAATGCCTTGAATACTAAAACACACTCTGAACTGAACTTTAAGTATCATTTAAGAAATAATGTGATTACTTTTCTTTACACTCTTAAAGTCATTATAGCTCTATTTTAAAGTAGCAGAAATACCATAAAATGTAGATAAATACAATTTAGTAATTTCAGACTCTAAATTGTGCTCTTGCTTATACATAGTTTTTGTATAAACATATATTGCATTTCTTAGCTTCTTTTTTAAATGTTGGGCTAAACTAAACAAATTTTGTCACTTAGAAAAATGGCTGATATATGGCAATTCTTTCACAAAAACGTTAGCTGCATATGGACTACTAAACATATCAGCAGAACAAATATAAAGCTCTCTGGTTTATTACACCAGTAATCTTTTGAATAAAATAATTTTTAATTTTGTTTTAAAGATTCTCTAAAAAACCCCTGAAAAACCATAATGCTGCAATCACATTTTCTATTTTAATATTTTATGCTAAATCTGAATAAGAAAGTTTCAAAGTCTCTAAGTCTGTCCTTTTGCTATTTTAATCATTAAAAAAACTCCTATAATTTAACCTGCCAACTATCACATAGTGCATTTCTTTATTAAACAAGTGCCCACTTTGGATAATAGATTAAACAAATTCCAGATATAATGTTAGGACTCAAACCTATTCAAACACAGGAGATTTGAAATTTATGAATTTTCTGTTAACTCATCCTACATGCAAACTTAATACAGGGCAATATGCAAATTAATGCAAACTCTATCATGCTCTGTACCAAGCTGTTTCTTGACTTTTTAATAAAGCAACCACTAACATACACAAAAGAGCATGACAATACTTAAAAACAAAACAGCTACAGAAAAAAAGTTTTCTACACTTCATCAACTTTTCACATTGAACAATCATTCAGTCCTAAGGGAAGTAATGACTAACTATAAAAAACATTTCCTGAAGTGTTAAAAAGCTATTACAATCCTTATATTTTCAGGATTATTTAGGCATTTTGCAAGCTAAGTATATTTACCCTTTAGAATTAAAATAAAATCTAGAAAATACCAATCTGGATCTTTCATTGCATTTAACACTGATTCTCTGCAAAAATGTACAATATAATTTCAAAGTGCCAACAGAGACATGCTGAATTCTTTTATTGCTTTGAATAGCAAATCATATGTCTTGAAATCTGAATTAAATACCTATACTATATTGATTTGGAGGTGAATACCAAGCTAAAAGCTTTTACATGTTTGAGCTGTCATAGTGCTTATATATAAATACATATTAGATTTTTATTTTTTTACTTAAAATGCATTTACCTTACAACAAACAATAAGCATACATTTTTACATGCATAATTTGGAAGCCTATGTCTAGAGAACATAACTAGTTTTTACAAAAATATTTCACACAATTAATTTTCTATGGCTCTAAGTACAGAAATTAATGGTACTCCTCTCTATATATCTTCTGCAAAGAAGTTTCAGTACATTAAGAATTAGGGTTCTGAGTAAATGCTGTCATTTTCTGGTTATTTCTATTATGTTAATGAGTCATTTGTATGGTATTTACATTTGAATTAAACTTACCTCTTCAATAACGTATTTCCTTTTTGTAATATGTATAATAGCA